CCACTGACTTGGAGTCTTCTGCTTGATGCTGTATATTTGCAGTAATTGTTGTCCAGCAACAGCACGTCTTGATCGTTCAGCATTTTTGATGCTCACTGCCGGGTAGCGATCAATGACAAAATCGACCCTTGGACAACTGAACTTTCTACCCATCTTAATCATAAGTTGAAGAAGATCATCAGCAAGCTCACCGAATGTGTCTGGTATATTCTTGAGACTCCTGATCAATGCCATGCCATGCCATCTATCAGTAGGGCACCATTATCACCAACAGTCTTGTTCACATGACAGTCCTTGTTCTTTGATTCTAAACAAGCTAGAAGAGCAGCCTTATTTGTTTTGGCTAATGAACCATCAGTGCTTGCTAGCGGGGATGAGATATTGCCAAGTGAATGTCAGAATCTCTTTCAAGTTTACAGACCGGGATTGACTATCACTAACAGTCGTGCAAAGAGTCTCCTGTCATTTTTTAGAATGACTTGATTTCCATCTTTTGTCTTGGATGATTTCTTCATTTGATCCCCAAACGTAGTGAGCTTCAAGGACTTTATTGGAGAGAAGAAGTCTGTTTTTGATGACTGGACTCGATCTTGGATGAAAATTTTCAGAGCTGTTTCACCTTTATCACAAGCACTTTGTATGTCATCTCTAACCGTCTTTGTAGCAACAACACCAGAGCTAATACAAGATCTTCACGAGGCAGGAAGGGATTGATCATAGACTCAACCGCTGAAACCAAAGATATAACAGCAGCATTGTCTTTTGCGATTCTTGTTGCATCCAACTCTTTATGACCCCTCTCTTCATGTTGCATTCCAGCCATCATTTCACACTGCCTTGTGATTGCAGAACGTTCAGGATGAGACAGTATCCATCGCTGGACGGCACCTCTGTTCAATGTTATCCCAGTTATGCCGCCTTTGGTCTTTGAATCACGGTTGCAGGTTTGTTCTATTGCTTGGTCACAAGCTATGGATGAGAACCTGTTAGCATCCTTACGCTGTACTATCCAGTTTCCTTTTGCAGTAACTTCTTCATAGCAGTGTGGATGAGTCTTTGGAAGATTGATCATCTCGACCCAATATGCTGATAGGTACCTTGCATAATTTTGGCGGTCATATGCAAAATACCATGCCAGCATACGTCTCACTGTTGCTAAGTGAAGGCTCCAGTCAGAGTCTCTGGTTGCTCTAATCAAACTCAGTAACAGTTGAACCATTTCAATGTATGAGCTCCAAAGTCCAAAGGTGGGAATAACAGAGTTCATCTCATGTACATATCTATCACTAGCTGTACTACCCGGCTTCGCCCGGGACTTGTATCCACCACGGCCGGCCGCCTTTGTCTCCCCAGTGGCGATGTTAATACGCCACAGCAGTTACTCGTTTGAGGCAGAGTCGACCTAGGGGAGGTTCAAATAATGGTCACCGGTGGTGGCCGTGAGCGGGAATCGAACTGGGTTCGCCGGGTTGGTAGCGCAGCGTAGCGTTAAGCACTACACCCACCGATCCTCACACACCACACACGCACAGACACACACACAGACACACACACAGACACACACACACAGACACAGGCAGCACGCTAAGCACTACACTACCGTTCCCCCTACACAACACACGCGCGCGCGTCCATAGGTACACGTACACGCGCTTGCTGCAGACACACACGACTTTCAGGGTGCGTACGGCAGTAAACGACTGAAATAATAAAGCGGCAATGCTGCGCAAGGAACGCCTTAGACCTGCAACACATTTGTGTAATGCGAGCGTAAACACACAAACACATACAAACACATACACAGTACACACACACATACATGCAGACACACAGACAGACACATAACACACATACATACACACACATACATACACACAAACACATACACACACGTACATACACACATACATACAGACACGCAGACATACACATAAACACATACAAAAAAACCCACATACATACACACACACATACACACAAACACATACACACACATACATACACACATACATACAGACACACAGACATACACATAAACACATACACACATAGACATGACCCGGCTTCGCCCGGGACTTGGATCCACGATGCCCGGCCGCCTTTGTCTCCCCAGTGACGATGTTCACACACGACAGCAGTTACGCGTTTGAGGCTGAGTCGACCTAGGGGAGGCCCAGGTCCGTTTAAAATAATCGTCAGCGGTGGTGGGCGTGAGTTGGAATCGAACTGGGGGCGCTCAACCAGCTTAATGACTATTTGTACAAAGAACATATAAAGAATCCATTATAATAAGCAGGCAACAGTCCACATTATAGACTGCCAGTACACGCACTCAGCTTCATAAGCAGGCTAGAGTGTACATGATAGAGTGGCAGTACGCTCACCGAGCTTAATAAGCAGGCTACAGTCTACATGATAGACTGGCAGTACGCTGACCCAGCTTAATGACTATTTGTACAGTGAACATTTAAGTAATCGATTGTTGGCGCGTTGGGTTTAAAAGTAATATTAATTGCACACATTGTGGTGGGGGTGGAGTGAAGAGTACGAAAAACTTTGATGAATTTACCTCAGAGTGGCGTGGTGGGTGTCGAGGCCTAGTAGCGTGCAGAGCCTGCGGCCTCGCCAAAATTGTGCACCCGGCAGAGGCAGGGTACGGGTGGCGTTCCTTCCCCCCCCCCCCCCCTCAGCGCTCCAACAATACTGTGTAATTGCTATTATTTAATTAATTACGGAGCCTATGAAAGTGGCGAAGGCGTGGCTAGCCATTGGCAGGGGCAACCGCCGTCCAATGAAAGTGCAGCCCTTGGCGAAGGCGTCGCTAGCCGTTGCCAGGTCCAATGAAAGCGGCGAAGGCGTCGCTAGCCGTTGGCAGGGGCAACCGGCGTCCAATGAAAGTGCGTATGGTCCGGCGACACACAGACACACAGACAGACAGATAGACAGACAGATTCGCGATTTTATATATATAGATAGCAGGACAGCATATCTGATATGTCAGACACTGAGTTAGATGAAAATCCTGCCTCAGACTTGTACTCTCGTACTAGATCTTCCATGGCTGATATGTAACGAGTGTGCTGTTGCTCAGGAAGGGACTGAAGAAATGACCTCAATCGCAAGATATGCATTGCCTCAAATAGGAGTTTGTGTGCACGAATGCTAAGGTTGTAGTTATGTCCAGTAATGACTCAATTTATTGAACCAACAGCTACCACATTTGATTCAATCAGCATATCCTGTAGTCCTGCTTCTTTGAAACGTTTGCCTATCACTGCCATAAAGGACATGGCTGTGTGGAACTCACCTTAATCGAGCTTGATCGCCGCTATCAGATGAAGCTGCACTGCTTACGTCCTCCATGTTTACATGTGCGTAGTGATATTGGCTTGATTTTGGCTCAGACCTACTTACATTTTCGATGCTGATTGGTTGAAAATCTAGCTCAACAGTTTTATATGTCTCAATACGCAGTCAATATAGTGCGCCAATAAATTACACTTTTCTCATTAACTGCAGGTTAATGCGTGGAGAACTTTTTGCTTGGATACCTTTCATTAACGTTGAACATATTGAGCAAAAGAAAAAGTAGTGCCCCGTTTGTCGGAACGAAACTGAACGATACAGCTCACGTACAGTGGCCTAATTGCCCATTGCCTCAAATAAAACAGTCCGAGGGTGCTGTATTTATTCTCCAAATAGGGCTTTGTGAGTCCAATATTAAACGGGAGGTGGACGCCCAACAAGCAAGCGTGGATTGGGGTGGGGGGAGATATGGAAGTGCCCAAAATGGTTATTGATGTGTTGGATAATATGTTTGAACCTTTGGACAGGTCCAGAAGGGAAGTCTTGAATAATTTGATTGAACAGTGGAGGAAATAAGGGCTTTGCTATAGGATATGTGACCATCAAAGCATCGTTCAACTTTGCACCTGTTGAATTCTGCCAAAGTTTAACCATTTCAACCCTTTTTCAAGTACTGCTTGCCAGTAAACCAGAGTACATGTGACATATCGTGAAATGGAGCAGGGGGTTAGATATCAATGAAGCAAAAGCCTTGATTAAAAGTGATTTAAACTTTATTCAGGTGCGATTACGTGTGTGACCTCAACACCAGTTGTTACTCAAGTCGCCTTCCTCCCGGTCTCCGTCGCCCAGAGGCAAAACACGCGTCAGTAGTGGGAATGTGCCAGGATGGTCAATGTTACCAGTGAGTATTTATTAAATGCTCACAGATTAAACTGAGAGGCTTGTGTAGCAGCAGAAAAAAGGCAGCAGTGGCACGCATAACCGGACTCGGTGAAGTTTTCCTGGGAACACCTCCATCATCACTGACATAATTCATCAACAGCAAAAGGTATATCAGAAGAAGCAGCAGCAACTTCATTATCAACGTCAGCATCATTATCATGCTCAACACATGATGTCCAACATCATAAAACATCGTAACTCTCATCCTTGTCTTCATCTGCGTCATCGTATTGTTGTTAGTGCTCGTTTGCATTGTTGCCATCCAACCACCCACCTCATGTAGGGAAACAAAAGCCCGCTCTATATATCGTAACAATTTTCCGTAAGCAATTTTGTGAGATAGTGGCGATGAGCGCACGCACACGGATTGGATTGGGACGGAAGCAGGCTTCCATGTGGGGCAGCCCTGCCCTCACCATGGCCCACACGAGTCACGCGCCCAAACGCAATCAACACGATTCCACGGGAGGGCGTAAATATTTTGCAATTGGCAGGAATCTTATCATCCATCATTGGCTCTGCTCTCACCCTGCCCACTACGGACAATTCTTCCTGTGTGCAATGGGTGCATTTCTGTGCGGAATTCGGCCCAACATGAATTTAACGCCGAGTGTGACAATTTGTATGCAAAATGGCCGTATTTTTTACTGGAAAGTGGTGGAATGACGGCCAAAATAACTGCACATATGACATAGTTTATACACACAACAAAGGAACCAGGCATCTTTAGAATTGGTTTGCAATTAACTTTTATTTCACATTAAAAAAACACAAACTTATTCCTTCAACAGCAATATCTTGAATATCCCCCAACAAATGATACACCATATTAGCTATGCAAATACAGTAGACTCTCGATTATCCACGTATGGTTTATCAGATTTGTAGATTTACCATGCACCCGAGATTTATTCATAAATCGTGTTTTTTTTCCCTTAAGCCCAAATTAATAATCTAAAAAGTGTTTAACACGTAGGCTTTCGTGACCAATATTATTCATAATAAAATTGTAAATGTTGTGGTTTCACTCTTCAACACACCGGTGGGCTAAAGTAGTGAATTATTTGTCTTTTGTCAACGTGACACTTTTTTGCTGATTGGCCGTGTCGGGTGGTGGAGGGTTACGACACATTTATATAAAACGCGATCTAACCCAAAAACGTTAATTATGAATCTAAAAAGAGTTATCTTTGAAATGTTTATTACAAGTTACGTGCTTAAACCGAGCAAATGTGTGCTCCATTTATTCCTAAATCCACGCGATCAACTCTACAGTACAGTAGTTGCATATCTTTACAACAGTGGGCAGAGTTTGATTGATGTTGATTCGCGTGGCTCTGCTCCTATCCACTTAGTGGGCAGAGTCTTGTGCGTGGGAACAGGAGTGTTATCTCTGAGCATGCGGAAAATGTATATTTTTGGATTATCCGCGATTTTGAATTATCAATGGCCATCCTCTCCATCATTAGTGTGGATAATCGAGAGTAATGTACTATGAAATTTCGTGATAAGCACTTTACTATCAATATAAGTAGAGAATAAGGGTTTCACATGAATAGTGCAACGTGTCCACAAAGTACTAGATAACAAATCTCCGCAAGACTCGTGAATGACAACAAAAATATCAGGCTGTAATTAAGTGTGAAATAAGTAATGTGATAATTAAACCCATACATAGTACATGAAAAAATTGACGATCTTGGTGACTCCAAAAATATCCTATTACTCACGATGTGTCTTCAAATGTGTTACTCCTGACAAAGCAACATCACGAGCAACTGATATTGGATGAGTCTTCATGTACATCAAAATGTGGGGCTATGTCAGGGCTACGTCAGCCGTACCGCACCTTTTCATTGGCCAGAGCCAGCTGGCGGATGTTGCTTATGCAGCCTGCGGCCGCCACCTGCAGAAATGTGTCGGTGGAGCCCACCATGGCCACCAGTGGCTTTGAAGCAAATCAGAAACAGAAAAATAGCAGTCAAGGACACAATAACAAGACAAAGATCACCCGTATAGACTTTAATATATTTACGCGATCTAACCCAAAAAAACCTGTATTATGGATGATATTAGTCGCAAAAACCTACATGTTAAACTTTAGCAGACTTAGTGCAAGTGCTGTTTAGCGAGCGGCTATGAAGGCCGGGGATGCTTGATGCAAACTGAGAGGCCAGCACCACCCCCCGCCACTTTTTTCTCCCCAGTGGCAAAGTTTACACATTGCATCAAGTACTCATTTGAGGCTGAGTCGACCTAGGCGAGGCCTAGCACCAGTTTGGATAATCATCACTGGTGTTGGCTGTGAGCGGGAATCGAAATCGGGTCGCTGGATTCGTAGGCCAGCGCGCTAACCGCTACACTACCAGGACACTTCATACACATAAATGTAGCATTAACATTGTTCTTTCAAACAAAAAATGCCATTGGCTCAATTCAAGTCGGAAGAAGCATTCGTGGAAGTTAGCAGGGTAAACATTCCCCCTCCTTTCCGCCAAAGGAATGTGGAATTTCCACCACTGGCTCAGGGCTGTAAACAGGAGATGAGGACCAATGCCTCAATGAGCAGGAAGTAACTTTGACTTTGCAACATTTCAACACTCATCACCCAAATACATTCTCGGAATCTGTAATCAGAATCGGAATATTATACTGCAGGAGGAATCCGATGAGCTATGAAGCTCATTTTCACAGATGTCCAGTCGGGGCGGTTTAGAAAGTTACAACAACAAACAATGCAAAACCGGTAAAGTCACGTAGGTAAAAAAATGCAAATTAATAAAAGTAAAATAAAAATAAAATAAAAATCACGACGTTTCGGAAGCAACACAAGCCTCCGTCTTCAGGTGGATCACTGTATCACTTGATACAGCTATCGTGCTGTGACTGTTCCACCTGAAGACGGAGGCTTGTGTTGCTTCCGAAACGTCGTGATTTTTATTTTATTTTTATTTTACTTTTATTAATTTATTTTTTACCTACGTGACTTTACCGAAAAAACCTAAGAATATGAATCCTTGCAGTCACGAAAGCTTCAAATCTAGAATGCAAAACCGATCGGAGTGCAGATTATAGAAAAGGTAAGTCACAAAAAAAGTATATAAGTCCATTACCAAAAACAATTACACCCAATGTATAGGAATACAACTGGAATCGATTCTTCTGGTATACTTTTCGATGCATGTAATGTGAGTATAGGAATCTGTTTTAATGGATTGATGCAGCTTTAGTGGTCACATTCATGTGTGAATGCAAAGCACGTTGTGTTAGCGTAGCTGTTACAGCCATTTGTCAAAATGTGCCTATGTTGAAGCTTCATTCATCGATACAATTCACTTGCCTTTTCATCCTCAAAGGACAAAAAAACCCTATGTATGGATCACGACTCTTAATTTATTCTTCCTTGTTTTTGCACCGATTTCTATTTGCTTTATTGTTGTACTTGTGTTTATGTCATTGCTCTTTTTGATGACCTAGGTCACTTGCAAATTTGATTAATCCTGGGCTCTTGAATTCTCACCTGGTTCAACAAAATCATCTTGTAATTTTTTCTTCTAAAGTGCAATTGCACAAGGACGTCACCTATTTTTAAATCCTTTATATTAAGTTCGCTTGCTTGCTTGCGTGCTTGCGTGCTTGCTTACGACCGTGCAAATCTTTCGGTCGTTTTTTAACCCACTTCCCGTGATCCAATCGAGCTGACATTCTGCACACAGACTCGTTGTGCGAGACAATTAATGTTCGTGAAAAGAAATTTCCAAAATTTTACACTGTTTAGGGAAAACAAATTAAATATTTAATTACCAATTGCTTAATATTGGCAGACAATCATCTGACCCATAGGTGGCAGCCATCTCAAGCCAGAGGACGAGAGGACTCTAGCCGCCACGCATATAAAGGATTTAGAGTGAAAAACTTTGTTTTTACGGGTTATACTTATTAACAGCACGGTTGGCTATGTACGGTGCGAAAAAAGTTCAACATACATACAACAGCAATTTTTCCTGGCAAAAAGAAACCTCACATCCAATACAATCTGCGTGAATGGAATGAAATGTAAAGAGCTGGCTGGCCTACCTTGACCACTCCATTGCTGTGCATGGTGATGCAGTTCTCAGGAGCCAGGGACAGCTGGTAGAGAGCCTGCGCTGTGGCGCGGTGAACTAACGCATCCTTGGACTTGAGGTAGCGCACAAGCGGAGCCACCGCCTGGGCACCCCCAAATGCCACTCGGTTGCTCCCCCACGTGCAGCAGCAAGCGATCGCTTCCGCCAGGTTCTTACGCAGTTTGTCGTCCGTCTGTGGCATGAGAGGTCAGAAGTTTGAAATGGAATATACAGTTTCATGTCATTTTTTAACGCGGTAGGCGCGTTCCTGAAGAGTGCCTCGTGAAGCAAAAACGCAAGGAGTGAGGAATGTTTACTGAATCACATTTGCACCACAAAATCAGCCTGCAGTCATCCCATGGACGGACGAAGAGCTGAGATGAGGGTACGCTACAACGTTACTGTATCATTTTGCATACTGCATCATACCATCCAGCCCTCACCTGGTTTCAAATAAAATTTACTTATGCCAGAACACTTACAAAAAAATATAAATATCCTTATTAAAGATATGCATTTTGTTCTATTATGATATCTATATGAAGGACTCTTTCCAGCTGCAGGGTGAGAGGACATATCCATTACATGACAGTGTTTTGTACCTGACATAAATAATAATGATGCTTTGTTTTTGATAGAACACCCTGCTTTACACCACAGGTCTCTCAGAGTGCATTGCATGCGATAAGCTATGTACATCACATCTCGTCCCAAACATTGTAAAGGTCGTTCCAAGAGGTAGCATAAGGTTATTCAGCATTCAGTCTGCGAGTAGGCATTATTCTGCCAGTAGGAGGTGATGTTTGCTATGTGCAATCCCAACTGAGTAATTGGCAAATAATTTTAGAATGTGGCTTATATGGGCCATGACCCCGGCAGACAATGGAGTTCTCGTGAATGACGACGAAGGATCTTTAACATCCACTAAGCAGCAGACGGCGCATATCATTACGATTCACACATCCTCAGTAATAACCAGGGTGGCCACTGGATGTGAACTTCATGCATCTGATTTTCTCGCTATTACATATATTTCAAAAATGTGTTTTCCTTTGTGTTTGCTTGCTCTTCGTATCACAAACCTGTGCCAAGCGGAACATTTGCTACCGCTGGGCCACATCACCGCCCTGCACATCACACTTTATCATGAACAATAAAGTTACCTACTGCTTGTCTCTATTATTATTCTTGTAACAAAAAAAGATGAACGTTAAAATATAAACAAAGTGTAATCATTGTGGGAAATCCCTACCGTGCTCGTCAAATTGGCAAGAAGGGGCACCACCCCATGGTCCGTTATCACTGCCAAGTTTTCTTCATCCTTGGCAATTTTGGATATAGCTGCACACACACTGGCCAGAACCTCGTTGTCATCAGACTTGAGCAGGTTCACGATTAGCTCCAGTCCACCCACAAACGATCGCACCATTTCTCCAGCATCCTAGACAACATGCAATGAAAACAATATCAGTGTTTTTTTTTTAAATAATACCAGCAGTATTCTAACAATAAGCTACCTGCATTGATAGGATTTATACTTAGATACTGTATATGAAACATACTGTTACATATTCAAAATAATTAGTTTCATGCCACTTTATAGAGAAAATGTATGCTTACATGCACGTTTTATGACCAAAGTACAAGTGTAAGAACAACTACTAAGACAAAAGCGGTAGAGGAACAAATCAGCAACAAACTCAAGTTATTAAAGTATGAAAATAATCAAATATTCACCACCACTATCATTCAAACTAATAGGTAACTGGAAACATATAACTGGGTAACGTTTTAGGCTTTGGTCCCTGTTAAAGAACACAATGTGATTCTGGCCTCTGGTGGGAGTTACCTGTGTAGTGACATAGAATGGATCACTACGGCGCGTCGCGCTGGGTACAGTAGAATAAAGAAATATGGGTGTAGCAGCCAGCACAGCATGTAATACCACGGAGTGGGACACTAGGGTGCGTGGTGCTGGCTGCTGGCAGAGAGGAGAATATGAGGCCTACAGACAGAGCATGGTATAGCAGCTATCCCGCCAGCACAGCAGGTAATGCCATGTAGTGGGTCACTAGGGGGCGTGGCACTGGCTGCTGGCGGAGAGGGGCATGTGGAGACACGTCACCACGGCCGGCTGGCAAAGCACGTGATGGGCCGGGGTGCAGGATGTAGGACAAAGGTGACCAAGGGGACACAAGGAACATGGCCCAGGACCTTCTGGAGGGTTCCAGGAGGGGGCGTGGTTAAGGGCGGAGCCGGGCAGGTGGCACGTGGAGGTCGGCCCAGGACCTCCTGGAAGGTTCTAGAAGGGGGCGTGGCCAAGGGCGGAGCCAGGCCACGCTCAGAGGCATAAAAGACAAGCCCCGAGGTTAAATCAGGGCTGTCTACAGGTGGAATGGAACCCGAGGTGCTACGTCTTCGTCTCCGGCATCGTGGGTCAGACAGCATGTTGGCTGCTCTGACCCGTAATTAGTTATCCCGTGTGTGAACAGTGTGTATATAGTGTAGAATAAACGGTGTTGCCTCCTAAAATAGTGTCTCAGAAGTGACTCACTACACCTGTAACGGACCGGAATGTAGCCTTGTGTAAACACTCAGTACTGTCCATACAGCAGGGCTTGTATGAGTGAGTACCAGCTCTTTACGCATCATCAGCTACTTAGTAGAATTTATATTACCAGACAAGCCTATCGAGACAGGGGGCCATATTTATGAATTGGGCTAAATGTAGCATGCTGGAGTGTTTGAACTTTGTCCAAAATATATTGTGCTCAATTCCAGAACAAATCATTGCACCACTGCATGAGACAAAAATGAGCAGAGCCAATATTTACAACATGGACAGCAAACAATCTCATGTCAATCCTAGAGCACTGTGATGCAGAGGCATAATAATCATAACCCAGGCATGACCAAATATTCACTGGTCTATCTAGCACACAAAGATCCCCCGTATAGCCTTAACAGACTGTTGGGGCAAGTGCTATTAGCGAGTACCTATGGAGGCCGGCATAGTGCATAAGAGAGTGGATCGCCAGCCCCATGCGCCTTTTGTTCCCAAGTAGAGATGCTTATACACTGCACTAGGTATTCATTTGAGGCTGAGTCGACCTAGTCTATGGGTCAATGCTAAGAGATAGGTAACCAGTTCCCTATGTCAACAGATAGATATTTATGGTTTGAAAATTATACTTTGTAATGTATGCAGCTTATGTATAACTGTACACTAATAATTTACATATGAGTCTCGCCACCATATTTGGAGTTTGCATGTTCTCCTCGTGGTCATGTGGATTTTTGTCTGGGTCCTCCGGTTTTTCCCTCCACATTTAGAAACATGTGTTTGGAGTATTTGGCTGCTATAAATATCCACATGATGAAAAGTCACGTTGTAGTTTTACCTTGACATTTTCAATGCAAGGGCAAATAGCCCAAGCTGCACTGGCTTGCACTTGTGAGTTGGAGTTCTTAAGGAGGGACCAGAGCAGGCGAACTCCATCCAGATGATCGATAATACTAGACAAAGCACGATCAATACAGAACATTATAAAACATGCAAAGCCAACTTTACAACGGCAGAGGTTACATTATTACATGTACAGAAGTACTGTACCTTGCTTCTCTTGTCTCATACTAAGTCTCCTCCAGCCCGCTCCGCTCTCAATCCCTCCTACTCCTCACAGTTCCCATCTTTCCTTGTGCACAATCCTGTTTCCGCTCCTTTTCCCTACTTGCCCCCTTGCACTGGAACAAACTTCTCCTCCACATGGAGCCAAGCACCCTCCCTGTCTCGTTTCCACTCATCCCTCAAGACCCACCTCTTCTTCCTGGCCCATTCTTCCCTCCATCCCTAGGTACCCCTGTAATTCCCGTTCCCACTAACCTCTCTCCCCTTACCTATCCCTATCCCCCTTCCCTCTTTCCCCTCCTCCTCTCATATGCCACCATACCACCGTCTGTTAACCTCATTGTACCATTTATAACCCTTATAAAGCCCCTTGGATATAAGGCGCTAAATAAATATAAGACAAGATGTCTACATGCAGAAATATGTCTTTGATAAATGCAAGAGTAGGTAAGGCTTTAAAAGTAAAATAATGTAGACTCTATATGAGCATGCATAGGTGACGCTCTGTACAATCGTGGCTATACCGATCTGTGTTTGCGTATTGTTGTATGTAAAGTAATATGAACAATTTGTTTCATGCTATTTAGGCATTTTTACATGCGTAATGAGCTCTTAAGAAGATTAAATTAGTCCTCATTTCAGGCAGTCCTCAAATTACAAACAACCAACTTACGAATACGCCCACTTACACACCAGCTTCCATGAATTATGTTTTTTAACAATTACTTAAAACGTGAACACGCACTTGAAAACTAAACCGCGGAACTATTTTGTTCAGCGGAGTGATCCTCCACGAGATCTAATGAGTCGGCCTAGTGTGGGGAGTGAGCTTGGTTAGTGCGCTGCACTCCGAACCTGGGTACCCAAGTTCAATTCCTGGTCACGGCCAACACCAGTGACGTTATCTGAACTGGTCCTGGGCTTCTCCTTGCTAGACTCAACCTCAAATGTGTACCTGGTGCAGTGTGTAAACATCACCACTGCAGAAACAAAAGTTGCCGGGCATAGGGCTACCCACTCACCCCCTCGTGTGCCGTGCTGGCCTTCATAGGCACTGCTCACAAACAGCACTTGCCCCAACAGTCTGTTAAGGCTATACGGAGGATAGTTGTTGTTGGTGTGTGTCTGCGTGTGTGCCTGCACGCGTATCCCATGTGTGTGTGCATGCAATTGCGGTGACTTATCACACCCCTTCTGACAAGAAAGCCAGCATCAGGACGAAAGTCAAGTGAAAATAAAATTATTTTTTCTATTTATGTTCCTTTATTTTATGTTTTATTTACTATTTATGTTACTTAATTTAGTTGTATTTATGATACAGTATGCATTACAGCATTAAATGAAAATGTACAATATTTCTGATTTATGAGTTTAACAATGCTTCCATTTTTTGTTGAACCATATCACATTTCATGACACGGATCCATGGGCATTTAAAATACAGTACATTATTGTATTCTGACTTATGATACGGTCAACTCACGAACGAATCTCAGGAACAATTTGTGTTCATAGGTCGAGCACTGCCCGAATAGAGGTTGCCTAATGGCCTCTCTGGGAGGCCTGTCAAGCAGAAAGCCTGAGCTCCCTTAGAATATACATTGTATGATTCACTCAATAAAAAACATAGTCTGAGCTATATTTGTTAATGTGTGATTCATACCATTGTAATTATTAAAAGATATATTTTGGTTTAAAAATTATATTTTGTAATTTTATTGCCAATTGAAAATAACGGTATGAAACAAATTCGTATTAGAATTTTCAGATAAAAAAACTCAACACCTTTGTCAATAACACTGTCACCATAAAACGAGACAATATATCATAGGTAACATTTCAGGCAATGGCCCTTGTTCACAGCACAATTTACTACTGCATAAAGGCCAACCAACCACAGTACAATTAAGGCATAACATTTTTGGTGCGTTTGTTTTGGTCTCTCATCGTTGTTTGTGCGTGGGTGCGTGGGTGGGTGTGACTGCACATGCAGTAATCCATCATACACACCCCATGTTTTCAGGATCCATGGCGCAGGCACCCACTGCTCGGGTGACGTTGATGAGGAGCGGTTGGTTGGTGCCCGTGAGCAGCTGTACCAAGGGATGGATGCCGCTTGTCTTGCGGATTATGGCACGATTAGCCGGCTCCTGGCAGCATTCACCCAGCGCTCCCACCACGTTTATGAGCACCTCCTCTGGTTGATTGCTTAACAGGGACACCAGAGTTTCTATGGTCCTCAACTCCTGTAGACTGCAAGCACACAAAGCCACCAGCCGTGAAGCCCTCGTAACATTATTATTATTCAGTGAATGGTAACAACAACGACCTCAGTAAAACCATGAGTGTAACTCTATGGATCCGATTCAGTTGTTTGTCAAATATTTTTTCCACCGACACATTACAGGACAACAACCCAACGTAGAAAGTGGTCTTTGTGTGGCACATTAGGAATGGATCACTCTTTTAATTATGTCCTTGTGCAGCAAGGGAGTAAAGTGTGGTTCTGTGAAAGTCCTGATGTGCTGTGCAGTGCATCAATGCATGTGTGTACAGCAGCATGTGATGACTGAGTCGGGCCTGTAGGTGGCTGGCAGGGTTATTGAATGACCGCGCGGATATACCAGTCACATGGTTAATGGCGGCTCGGGAGCAAGGCTGGTTGTAACACACGTGTTGTTGTATTTTACAGGTAAAGGACCCAAAGGTTGTTTTTGATCGTTATATAAATGTTTCTAGACTTGTTCTAGACTTTAAGCTTGGCTTTGAAGTGTTTGTTTGTGATATATGCAATTAGAGGCGTTTTAGCACTGTGCATTGTAAAGGGATGATGCACTGTAATTAGTTACTGTCATTTTAATTCTCTAAATCTAATACTGTTTAGTCTATAACCATGCCCATGTACCCAGAATATGACTACTTGCAATGCTATTGAGAATAGAACACATGTAAAGTAGTAAGCTGTACAATGGTGATATACAGTACGTATACTGTACACATACAGTACATATAATGGGTGTAAGATACCGATATAAGTGGATAGTATAGATAGACATACAGCTTAGGATTAAAGTAATAGTCGAATAGTGATGTGCAAATGTGATTGTCAAAGACAAAGATGGTTTATCAGTAGTAGAATTGGGTTTAAGAGAAAGGGTTAATGAATAACCGCTCGTGTAAACCAGCCACATGGTTAATGGCGGCTCGGGAGCAAGGCTGGTTGTAACACACGTGTTGTTGCATTTGACAGAGTGACGGTGCTGTTCTTCCCAAGATTAATATTAACCACAATAAATAAATGTGCTTGCCCTCGATTTGGAGCACCTGCCCACGTCCTTCATTTCGAGTGTGCAACATTTGTCTCAGACGAGCAATACAATTTATACTGATCAAAGAGAAAGCAATCATACAGGAGGTGTTAAGATGTTCAAACACCAAATAGACACCTATTCCAAGGCATTAAGTCTGCATTACCTACACATATTTATGGTATACTGTGCAAAGAAAAATGTTATTTGATAACGTATGCATTGTCCTTGAAACTGATTAACATGCACCAGAGACAGCCTCCTTCATGGCTTTGTCTCACCAGTCCTATAGAGCAAAGAATTCCAAAAGGTGAACACAAGGACAATGCAAATACCAAAGCATGAATAGCTCTGGTTAAGTAGTGTTTGAACATCTTCACAAATGTATTATTGGAAGGAAGGGTAAAGACTGTTCTTCTCTTTTATCACCTTAATAACGGAATTTTTTTTCTCATAAATACAATTTATACTGCACAGTAATATCTCGGTTAACAAAGTAGATTCATTCCATGACATCACTTTATTGTTAGGAACTTCATTATCAGAGGTAGATATAAGAGAGGAAGGATGGGGATACGTTCCAGGACTTCAGAGAAGAGTGTACAATAGCAAAACATCAAATAGGCTCAGTGCCTTCTGTATTATCAGCGCCTGACTGAGTAGCATGTGGTGCTGTGTGATTTCGTTCACCCAAACACTTTACAGTTTGTCTATTTCCCCAATAACACCGTTTCACGTGCGTGTTAGTTTAGTAGCAGTAAGGTCACTAGATTGTTGCATAGAAACCTGTACTTTCTCTGGTGGCCTTCAAATTGTATTTAAGGTGGACTGCGCTAACCCAAACGAAAGCGCCACTTCTCTTTCATCTCTCCTGCCTCTACCCTCCTTATGATCTGCATTTTTCCTTTTCAAAGAGATAGATTTACACTGCACTTCATCACTGCAAAAAACAATATCAAACATTACCAACACGAGGAGCTCAAGTAATGGCCGGCAGGAGGGGAAAGAATGGGGAGGCGCGCTGCTGATTGGGCCGAGTGAGGGAGACTCACGAAGCTCTTCGCTCATTGGCTGCTGATAATATTCAGTAAACAAACTCCACGATCGGTCACGTCGACAGGACACCTGTTTAAAATGTTACTCTTTTTGTTAATCGCTTTGCATGATATGAGGATATTTTTTTTATTTTGTAGATTTTTTCGTAAAAATAGGGAGGTGAAATAGCCCTCCAGGGGCGACTTTGTTATAAAGGGGCTTCATTCCTAGACTTCGTTAACTGAGGTATAACCGTATATTGATAACTGCGTTGCAATGCAAACTACGCTCCATGTGATTATCGATACATGACCACCAACTATAAAATATATGGTCTTCCAGCTCTCTAACCATACTTATTGAGGTACTTCATCCATACCATATATGCACATGTTTATTCTGCTGATATAAACTGGAGAGTGATGCATGTCATGATATCAGCCACATTTGTATCAAAACATTGGTTACATATCAATCCTATATTTAAGTACTTAATTAAACTGAAAAAGTCTTCCAAACGTACCTACATTTAAAACTCATAAAAGTTATTCAAAATGTATGCTATGCCAAAACATTACGTGGAAACTTAAAATACTAATCACAATTTTTGTGGAGAAAATAAATAACAAAGTAAATAAGCATTGTCTCCCTAATCGGCAGTTCACCAGCATTGATTTAAGCAATCTTGACTCTGCTAACTGCTAAGACACTCGAAACCATTCCAGAGTATGCTTATCTTGAAATCAATGCTGTTTAAATTATGCACCCCAGAAGGCTGTATGGCTAAGGATATGTGAAGGACACATGTTGTCTCCTTACATGGCAACGTTCTCTTGGCTGATGGAGCACTTCCAGATAGCCCCGGTCACTGCAGCCAACAGCTCCTTGTTCTCAGATTTTCCGAGCAGGATGTCCAACGGGTGCAAGCCTCCGTATTGCCGCACAAGGTCACGGGTCTCTTTATCTTCTGCACACTGTCAAGAAAAGAGTCTTCTTTTTAATACTCACCATCTCAAATCATCCAGTGGCCAGACAGCCTACAGTAGTCATATACAGGGTGTTTTAAAAAGATGTACCCGATTTGAAATCGCTATATCTCTACAACCACAAACCACCCATGAATGAAACTCTTACCACTTGAAAGGGCGGTGCATATAGTTTTAAATGATTACCGCTAGATGCCTCTCCCAGCGCACAAATAGCCCCTAGCCTCAGTCATTCGCAAGATGGTGAACCCACAACACAAGGCGTTTTGCGTTCTGCAGTTCAGCAAGACTCAATCCGTAATTGTGGTGCAGAGTGCGTTTCAACGGCGTTTTGGCATTGATCCGCCAATGTCAAAGAGCAATCGTCGTTGGTACCGACAATTTGAGGAAACAGGCTGTTTATGTAAGGGGAAGAGCACAGGGCGACCACGCACCTCAGAGGAAAACATGAAAAGAATTCAAGAGAGTTTTCTGCGTAGCCCGTGCAAGTCCACTCGTCGTGCCAGCCGAGAACTTGCGATCCCTCATACGACTGTCTGGCGTGTGTTAAGGCAACGTTTAATCATGAGGCCATACCAGTTGCAAATGATACAGGCTCTTCATGCAGGTGACAAAGGAAAACGTGTAGAATTTTGTGATGCGATGTTACAGAACATAGAGGACGATAGCTTCTTACCACGTTTGATTTTTAGTGATGAAGCAACGTTTCATCTAAGTGGTAAAGTTAACCGTCACAATGTGCGCATATGGGGATTAGAGAATCCACACTAAACTGTAGAGCATGAGCGTAATTCCCGAAAGTGAACGTGTTTTGTGCTGTTTCTCAAAAATAGGTTTATGGCCCTTTCTTTTGCGAGGGAAACACTATTACGGGGCAAGTGTATCTCGAAATGCTGCAGAAATGGCTCTTTCCACAACTTGATGATGATTCCGATGACTTAATTTTTCAGCAAGATGGAGCACCGCCACATTGGCACCTGCAGGTTCGACGTTTTCTAAATGACACACAGGCTTGGCGCTACACTCTTGGCCCACAAGATCCTCAGACATCACACCCTGCGACTTTTTCTTGTGGGGATACGTCAAAGACCGTGTTTTTGTGCCACCATTAGCGACTAATCTGGATGACCTCAAAAACGGAATCACGGCAGCGGTGACTTCAGTGGAAGAAGACACTTTGAAAGGCATTTGGGACGAATTCAACTATCGTCTCAATGTTGTCCGTACAATAGGTGGAGGGCACATAGAGCATTTATAAAATGGTTAGTAAAACCTGATAACTCATTAAACCGTTTGTAACTTTTTGTGTAATTGTAACATGTTGCCATCGTGAAATATACTGCTTTGAAATTGGGTCCATCTTTTTGAAACACCCTGTATATACACATTTATACTATATAGATTAAGTCAAACACGAATTGGGTATTCACCTCATAACATTCACCTCATAACCTGTGTTAGACTAACGATCCACTACCATCAAATTTAAGCATAACCCCAGTGGGTGGCACTGTGTGTAGGAGCCTCGACAGATGTATCTTAACGTTTCAAGTCCATACTCTTTGATTCTTTCGGTAAAGTCACGTAGGTAGAAAATAATAGATCACGACGTTTCGATCGCAACACAAGCGACCGTCATCAGGAAACTGCTGAAACGGAGTGCACTTCAGAGTTCTACCGAGTGCATCGTTCACCTGTGCTCAATAAAATTAGTACCACTTTGTTGGATATTAACAGTGGTCATTATATGAGCAGACTAATCCCCTCCATGGGAATGACAAACAACAATCCAGCTTTATAATAGTAACAAATACCAGTTTTAATTCTTCAATTAAACAAATGTATTTTTTATTCAATTATAGGAATAGCAATAGGAGTAAAATAATTTCTGAAGTCATTTAATGATAAAGAACTTAAAACATTGACTATAAAAAAACTTATATATATATTCCTCCCAGTGTTTCACATGCATTGAATGAAATGTGTTCAGTCTGGGAATGCAGATTACCTTGAATATGGCACTTGCACAGTGCATTTGTAACTCTTGGTTGTCACTGTTCAAGTTTTTGACCAAGTCCTCAATCATCTTCTCCGTCTGGATGGCGAGTCGATAGCTTGCCTATAGCAACAAATATATATTTAGTTTTTAATGATCGCAAATACTGTAAAAATGCAGTACTAAGTAAATGTGTAGCCATGATAAACATTACGTAGAGGTAACAAAAACAAAAATCCAAGATCCTCTCCCATCTCCATATTCTCTCTCAATAAGAGGATGGACAATGACGATGGCCATATATTTAACCACTGCAATTAACTCAGTTTGGGAAAGCTACCTCCAAGGCCCTGGATCCAGGCCTCAGAATTTGAGACTACAAATAGCAGCAGTGTTTGACTAAAACAGTATTCGGCTTACAAATGTATAATTCCCTGGCTGGTATTATATAATATTCCTTCCATAGTTGAGTGTCAAAACAGAAGCCTTACAACAGATCATATTGATCAATTAACCAATGGGCTTTCCTGTTAAATCAATATTTGGACTCTAAAGGAGGCAATGTTTGCTGGAACATTGGACTTTTAGTAGGTTATTCTTTGGGTCTTTCGGTAAAGTCATGTAGATAGGTTCAAAGAAAATAACAATAAACTATGATGTTTCGATCGCAACACAAGTGTTCATCATCAGGAAGAAAACAAGCGTTCGTCATCAGTAGGTTATATGGTTTTTCTCGTTACATTTCCTCATTAGTCATCCTCGAAGACATGTTTCCTTCTTTATCTGTTGTTCCATCACCAGTCTCATCAATTGACCATCATCCCTTTTCGTGATGTATCTTCACCAAGCTCGTTTACTTTTCTCAGAAGTAAATGTGTCTTTCATTTCTGTTCTCTGATTCATGATCCTGTGGAATGTTTAACTTAGATTTTATATTCATCACCAGCAGTCGCCAATGTTAAGCATACAGCATGCAATTGTACCACGTGTATCCTCACGAAAAGCATTCATTCCTACATATAGGATACGTATGGCATAATTTACGACTTTAGAATACTCCAGAGAAAATATCTGATAACCTCATAACTGATCGTTCCCTCTGTGCACACACCTCTGAAGCACACTCTTGCAAGGTGCCCACAACTGGGATGAGCATGTTCTCATGGGGCGACTTGAGCAGTCGCGCGAGCAGCGGGATGCCTCCCGCCTTGCGGATGGCTTGCTTGTTTTTTCTGCTTTTACTGCAACTCCACAGCGCTAGGGCCCCACAGCGAGCGACCTCGATGTCCTTCTCTTGCGCGGGACTTAAATTGGCAGAGCGCATGGGAACGCAGTCCATTAATCCCACCTGGAAAATAAATAAATAACCCCATAACTCAACTACCACGCGATCGTAGTAAGATGTGATTGTGGATAAGAGGCATTGTGGGTAAGAAGGGCACCCACAAATGATCACTGTGGCTACTAATCACAGAAATGGTATAATCATTACCGACAATGATGATAATGGATTGATAAGGATTATTATACCCCCACTGTGCACACTCTCTGGCTGTGGATTCACAGTTTGCCACGAAGCCAGGTTACCCACTGCTTGATCATGCAGCTAACTGTGCTGTTTTGGGATAAGAAGAGGATTAGAGAAGATAATATATGCATGAGGACATCTATTGTGCAGATGGCGTGAGGTGATTGGTTCATCCGACATGCCCTCTTCACTGTGGATCATGTGATTACACACTTACCAGTTTTTTTATACCATTGTGCTTCCGGACTGTTCTTCGTGCCCGCCGAAATTTAGCAATATTGGCGATTGTCTCAGCCGCCAAACACTTGAGTTCCTTTTCAGAGGAATCCAGGATGTTTACCATAGTTTGGAGGCCGCCAATGTCAACAATGGATTGGCGGATTTGTGAATTGTGGCTAATCTCCTTCAGTATTTTAAGTGATCCAATCTGTAAGCAGGAAATTGACAATACAAAACCAAGTTAATTCAGAAATAAAAATAATGAACCCTTTAATCTGTCTTATGATGAACATCATTTATAGACCTCATCCACAAATTTGCCTATTCACAATAGCATTCTCCAATATTACTCCAAATAAGATGAGTTATACTGTATTCATTGCTATTTACTTTCAATTTAAGAGTTGATAGTAACAATAAAAGCAATAATGCAAATTATAACGCAGCAACATTTTAGAGACATGAATGACCGTGACTCTGAGGCATGGAGGCAACCTCAGTGTCACTCGAGGGGCAGGCGAAGGAAGTGGTAGGGCCTTTAAGTGTCTATACATTTTATGTAAATTGAATGTTGCCGTGAATGTCCAATATATATGATCAATGCATGAGGAACGTTAACATGCACCACAACAGAAGCTGCATTTGTACAGGGTCCACATACTAGCTGTATGAATGGCAGTGTCACAACCACTATTGTGAAATTAGACTTTGACAACTACTGCTCACAAAAATGTTGTGCTTACAATTCCAGAAAATTATTCAAAGAAATTAATAGTTTACTCATTTTAGTTATTACCCTCAGCAGTCAAGTAACGATACACTGATTAATCAATGGACATCAACTCACACAATCACAATTAACTAATTTAATCGTGCACTTGAGATAGATCATGAAAGCGGTAAGCAAATGCTCTGCTGATAGACGACGGAGGCTAATGACGTTGACACAAGCATACAAACGAGGCAACGAAATGAGAAATGCATCAGTGTCAAAACGAGACAAGAAACTTATTCTTCAATCAGATAGGTTCCCCAAAGCAAATTATCAAATTGCTGGAGGGTGAATCGCTACATGCTTAATACACAGCTCCTGTGGAAATAAAAAAAACTCAACAACAATCATCATCAACACTGCCCGTTTTAGGTAATGGCCATTTCTGTGCTATGAAGGCTACTGCGAGAAATGTCACCCATTACATAGTGTATGCATTTTTCTGGTATTTAAAGGCAGCGTTGTTGACCATTGTGTAATGCGGGCGTAACCGACCTTCCGGATGTGACGTCATGGGGGGAAGGAGTTACGTCACGTGGGGGTAAGGGTTCAGGTATTAAAGGGGTGAAACCGGAAGAGGAAAGGGTCGTTCTGGGAGCTGGGCTAGTGTGAGGCCACATAGGGCGGAAGTAGGAGGAGTGGCGAGATCGCCACACACACAGAGTACGGTCAGCACCGTCGGCCAGCGGTGACCGACCCCGGAGGAACGGGGAGCAGCGGTGAGACCGCAGCAAGGGCGGCCAGGGAGGCTGCACGGAGAGAACAGCAGCGGGGCTGCTTCGGGGGAGAGAGAGACAGCAGCGGTGGGGCTGCGTCAAGGAGAGCAGGGAGGCTGCACGCAGAGAACAGCAGCGGAGCTGCGGTGGGGACGGGAGAAGGCTACAACAGCGACAGCAGCGTCGGCCCCGGAGCGGAGGGTCTCTGGGAGAGAGCCGTGTGGGAAAGAGAACACGAACCGAATAAAGGACACCAAGCCAGATACCGTGGTCGAGTCCTTTATTACACTGGTGTCAGAAGTGTAACGGCATGTCGAAGCAACTAAGAAAAAAGAATGTTCCGACGCCATCGTCTGCTTCATCATCTGACGACGAGGGTCTTCCTCCGGCGATGGACCCAGCTGCGTTGGTGGAGGAGACCCAGGCTGGAGCGAGTGCAGGAGTTCAAGATGTTGCCGCGTCGGCGGGCCCGTCAGCACCAACGGACGCGGAGGCCCGATGGGCACAGATGGCGGAGCAGCTTGAGACGCTCAAGAATGTATTGGCGCAGTTGTGTGCCCTCGTCACGCCGAAGACGGCGTTTGGAAGAGCTGAGGGTGGGCCAGAGGCCGCCGCCTCGCCGTCGACGCCATCAGCCACGCGGCGCGACGACGCCATCTTGGGCGTGGCGGGGGAAGAACGGCGGGAAGCCGCCATCTTGCGCTCTCCACGACGGGGAGCCGCCATCTTGACCACGCCGCGATGCGACGCCATTTTGAACCTGCCACCGGATGAAGCATCGCTCGAAGACGGCGCGCCGAGGAGTCGCAGTCGTCACCTTACTACGGTCAAAGAATTCTCCATCGGGGGCGATTGGAGCGCTTTCGCCTGCAGATTTTTGGCGGCGGTACGTTCTGCAAGGTGGACTGACGCTGAGGCTTTGGAAGTACTGCCGACTCTTCTGGATGACGAGTCGTTCAGATTTTTTCGTTCGATAACGGCTGAAAAGAAGAAGACATTGCGAGGAGTTTTTGACGAAATGGCGGATGCTTACGAGCCACCTGATGACGCTCATCGCCGATTTGCTCAACGACAGCGAGCGCCCGAGGAATCGCCGGTGGCGTTTAGGGGTGTGGTACTGGAGTTGGCTATGGCCGCGTATCCGGAGACGAAGCCTGACCTGCTCGAGCCTCTCATCTTGGGGAAGATGCTTGAGCTGTCCCGGGATCTGAGGATTCCCATGCCGGCATGCGGCCACGAGAAGCTAACGTCCCGGGCGGCAGCCAAGTGCCTGGACGCACAGTTTAACCTGCGCCGGTGGAAGCAAGTCGCGGCATGGACGGGGGGGCCCATCATCGAGGGAGGCGCCGTGGGTTGGTTGGGCCGGGGTAAGCAGGTCCCGCGCGCTGCACCGCCGGCACGGGGGCGTCGGGACGCAGGGCCTGCGCTACGGCACAACGACGTCGACTGCTTCCGCTGCGGGCGTAGGGGCCACTACGCCAGGGACTGCTGGGCCCGCATCCCGGGTCCGCCCCAGCAGGAGGCCTCGTCAACGGACGCCCCAAAGAAGGAACCTCCAAAGCAGGCAAGTCGGTGCGCACCAGACACCCGGCAAGGCTTTACACCTCACCCATCACCATTGTCGTGCGATTCGGGTGTTGTTACCAACGGGAGGCCATCGACGGGGCCATGTCGCTCGGTGACGCAGTGGCGTAAATTGTCACGGAGAGTCGTCGCGGCCGCTACGGGTTCGTCCACTGTACCGGGGTCTATACAAGGGGTGGACGTACGTATTTTGGTTGATTCCGGGGCGTCCGCGACCATTATATCGGATGTCATTTTCCATCTCTTGGGCATCCCATCGGGGGCCGTGCGACCGGTTTACGGGTCATGTGTCGCTGCAAACGGGGGTAGCATGGGCATTGTGGGCCAGGTGGACGCTAAAATATCTATCGGGGATGTGTCGGCCTCGGGTATAGTGTTAATTTCGAGATCTCTGGCAGTTCCTTGTTTATTGGGTACTGATTTTTTTGGCTAGGATGCCCATTCTGATAAAAATTAATGAGAATTGTATTGAATTGCCGGGTGGCCGTCAAATCTCGTTTCTGCCGTCGCCCTGGGGGCGACCTGCCCCTGCCGCCCAGGTGCAGGCGTTATCCGATGTATCTGTTGACATTCCACCTGGCTCACAGATGCTTATCCCCTTGCGGTATCGGAAGCCTCTGCCTGATCGGCAAGGTGCGGTTGGGGTCTTGTTGTCACCGTCCGCCACTATAACGGCCGGATTGGCGCTGGTTGGGGCGCAGACCATCGTCCGGCCGGACCAACAACCGTTTTTGCAGGTGCTCAATGCGAGTACCGAGAACGTATGTGTTCCGGCAGGTACGGTTGTGGCACATGCCACTACGGCTTTTACGGCACAGGATTGCCTGCACGGTCAGGGTGTGGTTGCTGGAGTTTCGGGGCCGGGAGCTTCGGATAATCGCTGGATTGCCGACTTATGTAGTGAAAATTCTTCCCTGTCCGGGGAACAACGTAGTGCGATTCGTAAATTGTTGTTGACTTATTCGGATGTGTTTAGCTCCGACGATTTGGATTTGGGGCGCACCTCGTTGCTTTACCATCATATTGACACAGGGGACGCTGCCCCTATTCGGCTGAACTCGCACCGGATGAGTCCGGCCGAGCGGGAACACGTTCGGGGGGCAGTGGATGACATGTTGGCTGCGGACATTATATCTCCATCTAACAGCCCATGGGGTGCGCCTGTGGTTTTGGTTAAGAAAAAGCACGGCAAATTGCGATTTTGTGTTGATTTCCGGAAATTGAATAAAGTATCGGTGGCTGACGCGTATCCCCTGCCGCGTATGGACGACTCCCTCGATGCTTTGTCGGGGGCTAAGTTCTTTTCTACGCTCGATCTCTCTTCGGGATTCTGGTAGCTTCCCCTTGACGAGACCTCGCGGGAGAAAACCGCATTCCGTACGCCGCAGGGGTTGTTTCAATTTAATTGCCTTCCGATGGGGCTGAATGCGGCCCCTGCCACATTTCAAAGGTTGATGGAGTTGGTGTTGACGGGGTTGCAGTGGGAGACATGTCTCATATATTTAGACGATATTATCGTCTTCAGCCGCACATTTGATGAACATTTACGGCGGTTGGAGTCGGTGTTCACGAGGATGCGTTCCACCAATTTGAAATTTAAACCTAAGAAATGTCACCTACTGCAACGGTCCGTCCGTTACTTGGGGCATATCGTGAGTGCTGATGGGGTGGCCACGGATCTGGAAAAAACGGCGTGCGTCCGGGATTGGCCAACCCCGGCCACCGTGGGGGATGTACGTCGCTTTTTGGGATTTGCTTCATATTATCGGAGATTCGTTCCGGATTTTGCGACGATCGCGAAGCCCTTACACCTCCTTACGGGTAAAGGACGAAAATTTGGTTGGGGACCGCCGGAAGAGGCGGCTTTTCAGAGCCTGCGCGATCTGTTGGCTACGGCGCCGACGTTGGATTATCCGGATTTCGATCACCCCTTCATTCTTGATACGGATGCGAGTGACACAGGCATTGGCGCTGTGTTGTCTCAGTCTAAAGGGGGTGTGGAGCGCGTGGTGGCGTATGGTAGCCGGGTTTAGTCTCCCGCGGAAACCCGCTACTGCGTCACTCGCAGGGAACTTTTGGCTGTTGTTTTCTTTCTACGCCAATTTCGACCGTATCTGTACGGTCGTTCGTTTATTGTGCGCTCGGATCATGCGGCCTTGCAGTATGCTCTTAAGATGGACCAGCCATCCGGCCAGTTGGCGCGTTGGTTGGACACGCTGCAAGAATTTTCCTTTCAAATTCACCATCGGAAGGGGGTGCGCCATGCGAATGCGGACGCACTTTCAAGGTTGCCGCAGCGCTCCCCTTGTGCGTGCGCGTCGGGGACGCATAGGTGTGCGCCGATTCAATCTTCCCCTCAGCCGGTCGTGGGAGCCATCGAGACACCGGATGCTCCGATGGAGCCGGGTCCGACTGATGGGATTTTGAATCTGCCGCGGTCTGTGTGGATTCGGGAACAAATGATGGATGAGTCTTTGTTGTCCTTACGGAAACGGTCTGCGGGGGAGAGCGGGGGTCCGTGTATGGCTGGGGTACCGGAAACCGCTCTCCGGGACGGTCTGCTCATGTGGAGGGAAGGAGTCCAGGAACGCTGGCGTCTGGTCGTGCCGGCGTCCTTGCGATACGAGTTAATCAGGACCCTCCATTGTGACACGCTCTTACATCTGGGTGTTCAAAAGACCCTATTGACGTTGCAACGTCATTACTTTTGGCACGGCATGGCGACAGATGTCGTCGGGCACGTGCGTGCGTGTCCCGATTGTGCTCGGCGGAAGCCACCTAAACATCCTTATGTGCCGCCGATACAGTCTATTCAGGTGTCTTGGGTCAATGAATTGGTGGCACTGGACATTCTGGGACCCTTCCCACCATCTGCGAGGGGTAATAAATATTTGTTGGTTGGGGTGGAGTATCTCTCCCGGTGGCCGATGGCCTGGCCGTTGCCCGACCAATCGGCCGCGGCTATTACCGACGCCTTTCTATTTGGGTACGTTATGGATAAGGGTGCGCCGGAGAGACTCCTCACGGACCAGGGCCGGAATTTTTCTTCTAAATTGTTGGCGGAAGTGTGCGCAGCCCTTGGGACTAAGAAAATACGCACATCTCCTTACCATCCGCAAACGGATGGTATGGTCGAACGGTTAAATCGAACCTTGTCCGCCATGCTGTGCCACACGGTGAGTGAACAACAATCAGATTGGGATTTGCACATCCCTGGGGTGCTTTCGGCGTACCGGATGACGCCGCATGTGGCTACAGGGTATTCGCCGTTTTTCCTTATGTATGGTCGGGAGAACGTGCCGCCGATGGATGTGCAGTTGGGAACCGGGATGAGGGGACCTGGTAAGCCACTTCCAGATTACATTCGGGACACCGTCCGCCGGGTCACGGAGGCGCGGGAGGGGGCCCGCGTAGCTACGGCCAAAGCTCAGGCCCGGAACGAGCGGTATGCTCGACGCTCCAAGGGGGAGTGCCCCTGGAAGGTTGGGGACCTGGCCTGGCTCCATTGCCCCCATTGCAAAAACCGTGGCAAGGGCCCGTCCGCCTCATCGAGGTTCCCAACCCGCAGTCGGCACGTGTTCGGATTGGATCGCGCCGCTGGTTCGTTCACACGTCACGGTTGAAACCATATGTTGCTCCTCTACCGGATGCGTCATCTCCTGATGTTGCCTTGCCGGGGTCTGTTGCTGCCGACTCACCCTTGCCTGCGTCCGTTGATCTTGCAAGAGCGCCTGTCGTGCCTGTTACAGACAGACCGGCCGTGACACCGCGGGTGACGAAGGGCTCTGCTCAGAGGGTGCCTGCCAGGACTGCGGGAACTCCGAACCCTGCAGCCCTACCGACCCCGCTGCAAGCACAATCGCAGGACACCTCCGAGGCTGAGCCTTCGGGGACACGGGACCGGGACGTTGGTGGGCCTCCAACAGCGACAGGAGATTTGCGGCCTGTCGCTCTTAAAACCCCATCACGCTCCCGCTCTGCAGGAGGGCCGCCGACCGTCCGGGACGGTCCGGCGACCCGCACACGTTCTAAATCACTCACGTTTCGTTAATTGTTCTTGTTGTGTTATTGTTCTTACTGTTATATTTATTGCATGCTTTGTGTCCCTTATTGTGGTTGAGTCGGTTTCGCTCGCATTACTTGTTGGAGTTTTGTTCAGCCGAGGTCGGCTGGGTTTTCTCTATGGGGGAGGGTGGTGTAATGCGGGCGTAATCAACCTTCCGGATGTGACGTCATGGGGGGGAGGAGTTACGTCACGTGGGGGTAAGGGTTCAGGTATTAAAGGGGTGAAACCGGAAGAGGAAGGGGTCGTTCTGGGAACTGGGCTAGTGTGAGGCCACGTAGGGCGGAAGCAGGAGGAGTGGCGAGATCGCCACACACACAGAGTACGGTCGGCACCGTCGGCCAGCGGTGACCGACCCCGGAGGAACGGGGAGCAGCGGTGAGACCGCAGCAAGGGCGGCCGGGGAGGCTGCACGGAGAGAACAGCAGCGGGGCTGCTTCGGGGGAGAGAGAGACAGCAGCGGTGGGGCTGCGTCAAGGAGAGCAGGGAGGCTGCACGCAGAGAACAGCAGCGGAGCTGCGGTGGGGACGGGAGAAGGCTACAACAGCGACAGCAGCGTCGGCCCCGGAGCGGAGGGTCTCTGGGAGAGAGCCGTGTGGGAAAGAGAACACGAACCGAATAAAGGACACCAAGCCAGATACCGTGGTCGAGTCCTTTATTACAATTGTATGAGGGGTTTTGTTAACTTTGCTTGTGCTCCATTGGAAAATGATATATGTAAATGAAGAGTGACCAATATCGCAATACAAATAACTGCTTTTAAAATATATTTATTAATGAGCTGCCCTATAACAGAGAATACGCTTTTAGAAATTAATCTTAATCCAAGTGTTTACCTTGCATTTAATGTCATCAGTGTCGAGCAAGTTGATGAGGACTTCCAACCCTCCGACGTCCTTCATCGCGAGCTGGCACGTCTCCTGAGCCAAGTTGAAGTCCCTCATACAGCACAGCGCGATCACCGTGGCTGTCGGATTCCCACTCTGTAAAGAAAATGTAAGCGAATTCAACTGGATGGTGGGAGTGGCTGTAAGTAAACTCATCTCAGGAGGTGCTACCAATCCGCTTGACATATTGGGCCTTTGGGTCTGTGCTCAGTAACTGTGTTTAAAAAATAATAATTGAAAAACACATCACGAATATGAATGGTTCATGAATCTGAGCAAGAACATCTACAAGTCTGCACAGAATCAGAATCTTTATGTTTCTTGGAGGAATCCGATGAGCTACGAGGCTCTTTTCACAGATGTCCAGGAGGGGAGGCTCAGAAAGTTACAACAACAAATAGAATGCACACTGCAGGGCACCTTGATGTACTTGATGAGCTTCTGGATTTGCCAGTACTCTGACGGTAGATCCATGCTGGCTTCCTGGCGCCGATCAAGCTGCTCCTCCTCCTCCTCGCTCTCACTAGAGCTGTCACTCTCATCCTCGTCCTCCAACCTCAGCGACATTCCCCTGTGAGAAGAGGTCAAATGCACTCCGCACCAAGCAGAGGCGGACCTGGGAAACTTCCCAGATGGCGTGGGGGGGGGGGGTGTGGTCCAAAACTGTGCAGCTTATGAAATACTACCCTACATTTTTTAAATTTCAATAAGGGAAGGGGACATGTATCGCCATTGTCCACCGACAGATCCAACACTGGTATCAAGAATCCCAAAGCACTCACTTCGAATGTCCTGGTTATGTTGATGTTGCTGTGCTCATGTACCACGGATCTCCCTTGTAAAACTGTCGTGCAACTGGCTAAATGGGACCACCATCTGTGTAATAAATCAAATAAACTCGAAACTCAATCATTCTACAGAGGCGTTAGAGATAAAACAAGGCCCGAGTTGGCTGTAGCAAATATACAGAAGATATACAACCGCATACAATAGCACTTCTGTATCTTGAAGTGTATCATGGATATAATAAGTTGTAATTTTTGGCAAATGCTGCTTATTCAGAGCAGCAGTTTCAATGTTTTGACTGAAAAATGTTAGCAGAGGGATGCTGTATTTTGATAATGGCTTAACTTGTGTAATTGAAGACAGCAATTAACAAAGCACATCTCTCAGCAACTGGGTCGGTTATTGCAGCTGGTATCAACAGTTAACAAACAGAACAAAAACCTCTCGAAAGCGACATTCCAGTAATGAGCGAAATTGAAGGTAAGCTGTAAAGGTTACTGGAATTAAACAAAATAAATGAATAAAATGTAAACCAAAACACTGCGGACTGCATTGCCGACCACAGTAACTAAGCTCCATAAGGGGCACAGCTCCACATTAGTCATGAGCATAACATTTCCAGGTGTGCTTGTCAATACTTAGGATGTGTAAGACCCTCTCGCCGACAAAATTATAATGAATCAAAAAGTAAACTTGATACTCTTAGTTCTTTCGGTAAAGTCACGTAGGTAAAAAATGAAATTAAAATTAATAAAAATAAAATAATAAAATCACGACGATTCGGAGGCAACACAAGTGTCCGTCATCAGGTGGGACCGTCACAGCCAGATTTGCTGCATCAGCAAATCTGGCTTCAAATCTAGAAGTAAACTTGACTCATTTATAAATAACACTGTGGCCTTTAAAGGGAAATATATAAGTGACGTTTCGGGCAATGGCCCTTCTTCATAGAACATACATTGAGGAATTTGCCTGAAATGTTGCTTATTGTATGTTTTTCCTTTAAGACCACAGCGATATTAGCGAATGTCTTCAGTTTTTTTGTTACAATGGTCGGGGATAGGGTCTTACATTTCGTAGTGTTGACAAGCGCGCCTGCGATTTTCTGCGTACAATGAAGATTGAGCTTTACCACCTATACAAATTAGTTCATGTAATTTTTGTTTAATTGTGCTTATGCACCACTGCCAATGCAGTAATGTGCCACAAATCATGTAATCGTAATACAATGAATGTATGTTTGTACACTAGCAATTATAGAGCTATGCAGTATAAGTATCTGTTTAACACGTAGGCTTTCGCAACCAATATCATCCATAATAGAGGTTTTTGGGTTAGATCGCGTAAATATATAAATGTATCAATCTTGATTTGAAGCTTTCGTGACTGCAAGAATCCATACTCTTTGGTTCTATCGGTAAAGTCACTTAGGTAGAAAAATAATAGATCACGACGTTTCAATCGCAACACAAGCGACCGTCATCAGGTGGAACAGATACAGCAGGATAACTGCTGACATAGGAGAAAGAGCTGCTGCAACAAGAGTTTATATAGGATTTTGGTGGGCACAACCCAATGGTAAGTGGGCGGAGCTAGAGAAGGAATTTGTACGTAAATGTAAATGTGAGAGATTATAGCATGTCAATGTGAGGCAGTCCCAGCCACCAGAGGTGGCAGGGATCCTCCTGTGGCTGGGCCGCCTCACAGATATTTGACCTGGTGATGTACTAAGAGAGTCGGAAATAACAGTTGACATAGGCAGGTAGGATGGAAACATCACAGTCAGTTAAGACTCTATCTGGTTAATAACGTCCTTCCAATGATTGTTCAGTTTGTACCCATCTTCACGGTTGAAGTTGTGTCTATGTTTATATATCTGGATGGCTTCATGAACAAATCTCTGATAATAGCCGGTGGGTTTGCAGAGTACCTTTGTCTTGGAAAAAAACCATTTTGTGTGAGCCCGCAGCGTTAAAACAATGATCAGCAATGGCAGAGGTATTGGTCCGTGTTTCAGATCTGCCTTGTGTTTGCGAACGCGGTCTGAGACATGTCGTTTCGTTTTCCCCAATGTAACTGCTGCCGCAGCCACAACTCAGTTTGTAGACACCCGGCTATTGCATGTCAGGAATCACATCCTTTACAGATGGGATAAAATCACGGATTTTGTGTACTGTATTGAAACGAACCTGGATCTTGTGTTTGTTTAAGATTTTGGAAATTATTTTGGTAACCCCTGCTATGTATGGCAAAGTGATGGTTTCGGTTGGATCCTCAGATGATTGTCTCCCCATGGCTGGGGAGACAGCTTTGCGGATTATACGGTCATGATATCCATTCATCCTGAGGGCTTGGTGTACGTGCTCCAGCTCACTGGCTAGGTGATACTGGTCGGAGATGCAACGGGCCCTATGGTGTAGTGTTTTGATGAGGGAATTCTTCTGGGCTGGATGGTGGTGGGAGTCAGGCTTTAGATAGGCATCCGTGTGGGTGGCTTTCCTGGAAACAGAGTGCCCCAACGAGCCATCAGGTCTTTTCTCGATCAAAACATCCAGGAATGGTAGCTTGCCATCCTTTTCCACTTCCATGATGAATTTTGTAGATGGGTGTATGAATATGATGTGTTTGAGAAATTGGTTCAGTGCTGGCAGGCCACGTGGCCAGATGACGAACGAGTCATCTACGTATCTCTTCCACAAGGAAAGACGTAGGGTGGATGTCTGGATGGCATCTGTCTCAAATTTCTCCATGAAAACATTAGTTACCACTAGTGATAAGGGAAACCCCATTGGGGTACCCTCATTTTGTTTGTAAAATGTACCATTCCAGGTGCAGTAAGTGTTGGTAAGGCAGTGCCTTACCAATGTTGGTACATCTGGATTCAGTCCCTGTTGGACCAAGTCTTCAAAGATTGCAATGGTGTCAGGTACAGGTACCTTGGTGAACAGGGAGACTACATCGAAACTGACAAGTAAATCATCTGGAGACAGTGAGATGTCCTTGATTAGAGAAAAAAGTGAGCTGAGTTAAGTACAGCTGAGATGGTCTTGCCCATGAAGGGAAGCAGAGTCTCAGACAGAAATCGGGCCAGTTTGTAGGTAGGTGAGTTAATGGTGGAGATGATAGAACGGAGCAGGATACCATCTTTGTGGATCTTTGGAAGGCCATAAAATCTGGGTGGTTTAGCAACCGAAGGTTTTAGAGAGCGCTGCTTGGTCGAATCTATTAGAGATGTCGAATTAGTGATGATATTGTTGGTTTTTGTGGCTGCGGTTGGTGGGATCTCTGTTGATTTTGGTATAGCTGCCATCATTAAGAAGGTCCTGTTCCACCTGATGACGGTCGCTTGTGTTGCGATCGAAACGTCATGATCTATTATTTTCTACCTACGTGACTTTACCGAAAGAACCAAAGAGTATATAATGACTTGTTTCAGCAGCCTGCTTCTTTCTTCCACCTGAAGACGATTGCTTGTGTGGCGATCGAAACGTCGTGATCTATTATTTTTTCTACCTACGTGACTTTACCAAAAGAACCAAATAGTATATAAATGTGTCGTTAAAACCCGCCACCACCTGACACAACCAACTAGTAAGGGTTGTCACGTAAACAGAACATGCCAATTCGTCACTAGCCAAGTCACAACATTTACAAACAATACGACGTTTCGCCAGTAAATACAACTAGCTTCATCAGGCGACAGCCAGATTTGTGGAGAAGTCTTACTGTTTCGTTCCTTATATAGAGGCGTAGATGTGTTGACTACCCTTCTGTGCTCTTGCACAATGTTGGAGGGGGGGGGGGGGGGGATTACTGAGGCAACGTACATTATGCATGTGCATTATGCGAGCCCTTTGAACTTGTCCTTCCGGCCTATTGTGTTTATTAAAATAGCCCTACCAACGGTAATCCCTATTGAAGTATGCTGCCCTTTGTAGGCATGCATTTAAATAATGTATTACTTGATGATTCGCTTCCACGCAGCACTAAGACGGTAGCTATCCAAACGTTAAAGTTATTTTGATTTCTTTCAATTTCGATAGATTCTCTAATTAGTCTTGACCAGTAGTAGCTAGTTTTGCACACAACTTCAACATTATCAAAATCAATTGAGTGTCCTTGTTTGCACGCGTGTTCTGCTACTGCTGACAGTTGCATTTGGGATAATTTAATATTTCTATGATGTTCATTTAATCTCGTGCTGATCATTCGTCCTGTTTGCCCAACATAACATTTACCACACGTGTAGTTAATCCTGTACACACCTTCTGTTGATAGCTTCGGTAATACATCTTTTGTACCAGATATTAAATTCTGTATTTTATGTAACATGCCAATCTGACTCGGATGTTTTGTTTTTCCAAATATCTGGCTAGTTTATAAGTTACTCCCGCAATGTACGGTATTTGATCGTTTTAATTACTTGGGCAGTTTCAATGCTCTTGTTATTTGATTTGGTTTTGGTATTCAATGCCCTGTTGATTTGTGCATCATTGTAGCCGTTGATTTGCAGCACTTCTTAACATGTTGAATTTCATTTCTCAGACTGTCACCATCTGACACATTCTTAGCTCGATGAATGAGCGCCTTGATAAGAACAGATTTCGATGTGGGTGGTTGAACATCTTAACACCTTCTGTATTATTGCCTTTTCTTCTTCCCCCCCCCCCCCCCCGCCGTTTAACCCCAGATAAATGGAGTTTCACTGTGAATCGTCCACATATACAGTCATCAGAATCACTGAAAATTATACAGCGGTTGAACAATTAGAATACTTACATAAGTACTGATAAAATATAAAACTTAGAAACACACTCACGTCTTGTGAGAAGGCCACCGTTTACTTAGCGAGGCAGTGGATGGGTGTCTCTTTTTCCCGTGATCCAGTTTTCATTATCTTGCTGTTGGCTTGTGCTATGCTGGTCATTCTTTGTTTTGGCAGACTTTACAGTTTCCCCTTCATTTACAATAAGACCATACACCAAAATAGAGAAATAGCATGTTCATATTAGTCATGTTAAATAAATACAATAACCCTTCAATGCAAACCTTATAATCCCAATGTCAGCAGTACAATAATGTGTAGAGATGATGTGAACAAGCAACTGGTCCCGTTTCTTTGATGATGTCCACTGTTACACTATCGGAGTGTTATTCACTAATTTTCAGAGGGGGGCCACTTTTTCCGAAAAGACATCATCGGTGCGAGTGCCGCCACACATTTGAAATCATTGGGGGTTTGAGAGCACGATGATGGGGGGGTGTTTTCACATTTGTGTATTGTCGGGGGCTGCATGTCAGGGGCTGCACTAAAGGACACCAGGGGCCACCAGTGGGGCCTGTAATGAAGAACACTACACTTTTGGTCCAGGAGCTTTTCCCTTCTAGCGAGCTGCCACCAACTCCCTACCACCCCCAGCAGCATCACACCCCTTACGGACGACCTTTGTCCGCGAAGGGGCTAAACCACCGAAGAGTGGCTCTACACCAATAGAGCGAGACCAGCTGCGCTTGGCCCGCGACTGGAAAATGCTAGCTGACATTGGCCGGCAACTTGTGTTTCCTCCGGAGATCGCAACCACCACCCTAAGACCTGACATGGTGCTCTGGTCCCGTTCGCTCAAGAAGATCTTCATCATTGAGCTCACAGTACCCTGGGAGGACTCAGTAGATGAGGCTTATGAGCGAAAACATCTGCGCTATGCCGATCTAGCTGCCGAA